TGGCGCGGGGTTTGGGGGTTGCGCGGAGTTTGGGGCTGGCCCGGAGTTGGCCCTCCCCACCTCAGAAATTGGACCTGGTCGTAAAATTGTGAAATTTGGGCTCCCGGAGGGACCTCGGCCCGAACCCATCCCTCGATTGGATGTGGAAACCTAGCTTCCCCGGGCCCCGTGCAGGCGGACCCACCTACCTGTGCGCGCACCGACGCCTCGTGGATGAGGATGTGAGGGGTGGACGCCTCAGACAAAGGGCTCGTGAGGTGGCTGATCCATCCCCTTTCTGAGTGGGATGGGACTTCCCTGGTGTGTGTGTGTGTGTGTAAGTCCTTCTTTAAGGAAAGAAAGTGTGTGTAGGTGGCAGGTGGGAGAAGAGACGCCTCTGGAGGTGCGCGTAGCTCTGCCAGCCCGAGTGCCCACGGGCCATGTCTCGAGGGCCCCGGTCTCCCTTGGAAGCTCGGGGAGGAAGCAGGTGGACCCGCGGAGACAGAGGGGGGCGAGGTATTCCCCGCGAGGAGGCGCCGTCACAGGAAGGGGAGGAAGGAATAGCGGGCAGGAGATCAGGCTCAGTGAAGGGTCCTGTGAAGTTTACCTCCCAAACCACTGCAGAATGGGAAGAGGGGGACGGGGATAGAAGAGCCCAGAGCTGCCTTGGAGAGACACCACGTGAGGTTATAGACCATCCTGTATATGTCCTTTGTCCCCATAGTGTCCTGCTGAGGGCAAGACACAGGAGGACAGTGGGTATCCCGTGAGCGTCCGGGTGCAGGGCCCGGCCACCCCCCAGAGGACCCTAGTGCGCTCTGGGCTCAGGGGTCTCAGAAGGAGACCCCTTAGTGTGTGACCCTCCATCCGAAGGGGACAGCGGTTCAATGAGCAGCCACCTTTGAACCTGTGGGGTGATCTGAAGAGAGCTGGCGAAGATGGCTGTCTGTAAGAGTTGGGGAAGCCAGAGTCATTCCTGATAAGGAAGCTCATTTCCTTCTGAAAAGCTACATCAGGAAACCAGAGTTTTAAGGCCATGCATTTTACAGAAAATGTGAAAGAGTTACTGCCTTTGGACTAGGGGTTTAGATAACCTGTCTGGACCAAGATTCAGTTGTGAGAGACTTTCTCTTACCACCTGGTTGCACTACTTTTCCTATGGAATGATTGATCTGGGTCTGACCAATTATTTTTATTCGCTAGGAAAATTCAGAGATAAGATTTCTAAAGTAATACTAGAACCCACTAGTAGTAGGATCAGCCATGAAAAAAAATCCCCCCTCCCCCCAAAGAAACTTAAAGGTTTGTAATATGGGGGGAAGAAGTGTGCCGTTTTTAAAAGATGGTCGCTGATGCTAATCATCAAAGTCAATTTATTGCTAGCTTGATAAAACTAATTTTCAGTGTATATTCAACTTTGCAGCAGTTTTGGTGTGTTTTTTTCTCGCTCCCAGAGTGGAGATACATTGAAAGTGTGATAATGTTGATAGGTCATATTTTAAGAAGAATGCTTTAGGTTCACAAATCAATGCCAGACCATAACTATGGATATTCAGCTGTAAATTTATTTTATTTAAAATATAATTTACTATATTATATTAATTTCAGGTGTATACCATAGTTATTCAGGATTGCACGGCTATGCATTTTATTGACTTTTCTTGCATCTGTGGAAATATTTTGTATAAATACCTCAAGAGGTATAATGGGGTATGATCAGAAGGGTATGTAATCTGTGGGGGAAATTGGCACTGTTAACCAAATCCTGTCAGCGAAGTTTTATGAAAGTTATTGTATTCTCATTAATTTATCATTAGCCCAGATAGCAGACAGACAAGTAAGCCAAAATCAAGGTAAGATTGACGGGGGAGCAGGCAGGTACCATCAGCCGGGCTGGAGGGGCTGTGGGAGCGCGCTTTGAATGTAAGTGCAAATACTAGCTCGAATCACCAGTTTGAGAAGATACTGCTTCCATGTAATGAATGTGCCTCATGGCTTTGTGTGCATATTTTTGAGCTCCTACAATCAGAAAGACACTTGCTTTCAGAGGAGACAGATGGACTTACACACTCTCAAGGTGTTTCTTGTTTGCTGTGGCAGTGAAACCTTGGACAGATAATTACTTAACATCCACTCTACTTTCTGGGGCAGCTGAGGGAAGTTATCACATCTGGCCTGTAATAAAGTAATCAACAGTACTTAATGGGCCAAGGTACCAGATAAACCAGTCATGCCAACAGGGTTTGCTTTCACTGAACTGATTTTCTAGTTATACAGTAAGAGGAGGAATGAAATGGCAGTGCAGTGCCGTCTGAGGTAAGAAGTTGTCAAAATATAGACGTCAGTGTTCAGAAGATTAGGAGTCAAATAAAGCAGCAGTCGCCAACCGGTGGTCCGTGAGGTCCGAAAGGTTGACGACCGCTGAAATAGAACTTGGAAGTGCCTTTCCGATGCCTGTCAACTCATGCATATTTATAGTAGAAGATGTAATTCTAGA